GCTGTTGACTTTCCTGCAACTGTTGGAGACTTTCTTCCTGTTTCCTTTCTTGTTCCAATTGCCACTGCTATAGTCTCTCTTCTTGTTTATTTACTTTCTCCTCCAACCACTGCCGTAGCCTCTCTTCTTGTTTCTTTTCTTTTTCCTTCAATAACTGCTGTAATCTCTCTTCTTGTTCTTCTTGTTTCTTTTGCTGTTCTTGTATTGCTGCCATCAAATCTGCTAAGCTGTAGTTTGATTTGCCACTTCTCGTTTCCATTTTTTTATTTTCCATCCCACTTTTGACATCAGTTTGTTGCGTATCTGTTCGTATGTTAATTTCCGGTATAAATTCTTTCCGAGTGACTTCAGCGATACAAGTCCCTTCTTGATTAAAACTAGTTTATTTTTTCTCGTTATAAACTTGGTAATACACGTAATTTCCACAGTCAATTTAACTTAACTACTTTTATAAAAACACGCTATAATTTACAGGGATTCACACAGTTACGGCTTGACTCGATTATCTCTATCTTCAATCTCTCTATCTATGCAATTATTATCTCGCTTTATTTGCCGGGCTTATATACTAAAAAAAGAAGGCGTCTGGAACAGACTAGAGTTGCCAGGACAATTCAGGACAAATCAGGTGTTACCAGCGTCACGTGGCTTCCGCTGTCATAACAATATTTTAACATTTTTATGTGTTTCATATTTTATTCTCAGTTGAGAAAATGTTAAAATTTTCTCCGGCTTTTTTTTTTAGTCCCACAGTGATACAGGGTTATGTCTGCGGGCTTCTAACGTTAGAAACCGAATTTTGATACTCGGGTGGGCAAAGCACAGATAGCCCATTGTGTAGCTTTGTGCTTAACTGGAAACAAACAAACAATTAAACTGTCTTTTATTAGAGGTTTATTTTGAGTGGCTCTCTTCTTAGAAGTGTTGTTCATAAAAATGTGTACTTATTACTTTTTAAGTTAGAAAAAGAGGCGTGGAAAGTTTTTTCTATTATAAAATACTCAAGGCATACATTACTTCAAAGTAAGATTTACATAAAATAGCAAAAACAATGAAATAGTTGTGGCATTTAATTCTAATAAATGATAATAAAAACATTTTGCGTAAGTCTTTATTTGTTTGTTTTAAAGCATAGCAAAGCCACAATTAGCTATTTGTTGTGTCTTCCGCGGAGAATCGAGCTCCGGATTTTAGCGTTTAAGTCTGTAAACATACCGCTGTTACACCGGGGGACAGGCAAAAGTGTAATGTAGTGTCCATAGTGATCCTGTCAATAACTGCGCTTACTTGGTTGTTGTCATCTTGTCTATAGTTGTGTTTGATATTGTAAGTTACGTTGGTGTACGGAACAAATTTGTGATCAATCACTTCATTTACAACTAAATAGTAAATATTAAAATAGGTAAAGTTTAAGTCTGTTTATATTAGATTGTCAGTATAAAAAATGGTGATATACTTTTTAACATTTTATATTTTGCAAACCTAAAAATCTGCGGCAGAGCAAAAGTAAAAGTACAAAATTGAAACTATTACTTTTGTTAGGCCTAATGTTATAAGTGTTAAGTGCAAGTGTGAGTTGTAACATCCCCACTTACTAACGATGCGAGTTTATTCAAAAGTTAAATTACTGCATAACGATAACAAAAAGAATGTAACACAGTGATAGTTAGTGTTGATTGTATTTCAGTATGTGCTCTGAGCTTCAACTTGGTGCCAGTATTGAAACTGACCATCTGAAAATGATCGTTACCGATTAACTTATTTAGTGGGCACATCAGAAAAATCATATATGAAATACTGATATTAATATGATATAGGCACGTGACATTTATAGCATTATAATGAAATGTTAGTTGTAAATATTGAGGGCAAGTTACCAGAAATAATTTTTTACCGTAATAAAAGATTGGACACTAACTGTACAAAGTGTTATTATTATTGTTAATAGTAATATTAACTGTATAATTTAATTCTCTGCCCAGTACTGTTCATGTGTCTTCCAAGTTCCTTATTTCCTAAAGTAAAGATTTTGCATGACTGTGATAATTAAAAGTTTTAAGTAGTTAATGAGTCTCACGAGCAAGTGTTACAACACTGCTCATTAGAACAATAAAAAATTACCATAAAGAAAAAATGTGCCTAATCTATGATTGTCTCACAATTGTAACAGTGTAATAACCTTGAATTGTTAAAAAATTACTTGTTGGTGGGAGTGATGTGAAAAGGGTATGAGAGTTCTCTGGTTAACTGAAGGATAACATTTTGTGATAGTGTATTAATGCTTATTTTCACTGTTTTAATAATTAAAATTAGAAATTGCTAAGATTGAATTTGTGTACAAAAACCTATTTCAGTAACTTCTTTGATTCATTGTAAACTGTGGATTTGAGTTACTTACTAAAAGTATTTCAGATTTTTAGATTTTATTTCATTAACTAAACTACATGTGTATGGAATGGTTTTTAACACACTTAAATTTGTCCTTAAATTTTCTTATTTTCTTGAATCATGTATGCTTATGACTATTTCTCATAATACACATTTTCCCAAACTAACTAATCCACACATTCCATAAATTCTCCTTCATGTATTTTCAGATTTTCAAGTTTAATACACATTTTACAAAAAAAGAACAAATAATTTTTTAACTGATTGATTAAACTGGCTATAGTAGAATTAAATTTCAATACATTTTATTCAAAAGAAAACTTGTTTTACAAAGATGTTAGAATGGGAAGTAATTAAGATGGTATTCCATACCTGTGTAATAATATAAATGACATACCATCTCTATTAACAGACTAAAGCAGGCCTCAACAAATCCCAGGTGCCAGCTCACCACAACAACTAGTATTTTCTCCCATTTTATATGTGCGTAGGGATGTGCTAAATATAACTTGAATCTAGAATGGTTTTGGACTCTTGGAAGCCTAGAACTATTTTCACATTCTTTGAGTCCAAAATTGAACTTTGTTTCTAGGATTTTAATGGCAGATTCAGCACTTCTTGTTTTATTCAGGAATGAAGTGCTGTGGTTGAACAACATGTTACTAATTTCACAGCATTTTGTTATTCTTCTTTCTCACAATGCAACCAATCAGTGCATATGTTTAGACTCGGATGGGAACAAAGACAGTTAGTTAAGGCAATACACTTAAGTGGTTATTGATATCATGGGATTGTTAGCATGTATTCATTGCTGTGAAAGTAAATAAATATAGCCCCCATTTCCGAGTACAAACAGTAGTGAAGTTAGGTTAGGCACACCAAAAGGCCTTTGTTTATCATTGTATGGTGTTATAGTGATGAATAGATTAAACCTATTCTGCAACAACCTGCTTGGCCTATTGATATCACAGTGGTTATTTTTATTTTACTTTCATTCATTGCAAGAATCCACCTAAGTTATAGTTATTTAGTCTACTATTTTAATAATTGCACATATTGAAGTTTAACTTTAATATACGTTATATGATAAATAATAATGAACCCTTTGTCTTTTGGTTTAAAACTGTATGTCTCATACCATAATCATACAACAGACTCAAAATATATTCCATAACTTTTCAATATCAGACCTGGCTCCTAGATCTGAAAATATTTGTCCAGACTTGGAGTAAAGTAATCTTAACTTTTAGTTGTCTGTGTGAATTACATAGTAGGTACATCTTATCAAAATTTTATTTTTTAATGAACATACTTGATTATTCAGTTGTAGCATAAATCTATTAAATTCAGTAAAGAGCGGTTGCAATATTCATATTTTGCCGGTTTGATTTCAGCTGTAAACTAGTGATGTTTCAAAAGCCCACTATGTTACATCAGATTATTGAGTCATTAGAATGAACTGGCAGTTTTTAATTGCTATAGGTAAATACTGTCTACATGTACTGTATTTTAATTGATTTCCTGTTTATTATTTATTTTTTAGCTAAATTTTAAGTGTAGTGGACCTCTGATGCCTTCATTTTCAGGAATACTGTAAATTATACATTTCTTATAAGACTATGATGAGAGTGTTATAATTTTTTGTAATTTTTATTTTTGGAGAGATTTGGAGTTGTGTTTATGCAAAAAAAAATTTAGCACTATTCAGATTTGTCTACTTTAATCAAGTTAGATGAAGGCTGTCCTTGAATACCCACCCTTGAGAAAAAGTGAAAACTTAAATCCACTGTTTATTTTTCAGGAAATTATCAATTCCCCTGTTAAACTATTCTAAAGTACCAGCATCCAATACTGCTGAAGGCAACTAATTTAATAGGCCAGTCATCTTATTAGAAAAATAATTTTCTTCTATATTTTAAAATTATATCCTCTCATCCTAGATAAGCTAGGGTAAGACATTCATGAAGATCCTATGGTTTTTATAGCTTCTGTCACAAATCTCAAAATGTATACCATTTTGATAAGAATTTTTTTTTACTGCATTTATCTTGAATAATCAGTTTTTGTATGCTTGTGGATTGTTTCATATCAGATTGTTGTACTTGTGCTATTATTTTTACTTCAAAGTCATATAATTTCTTAAGCACTTGTACTTAAACCACACCTTAAATTACACTTTCTTCATGTGTGTTTTGTGCCATTTGTTGAATTCAGTGTGTTAATGGTTAAATATTTTATTGATTGATGCAGAATTGATAGGCACAGAAGAAGACATTGTATATACTAATGATATAAGGATAAATATGACTTAAATAATTCATTTTATTTCTCACTCTTTAAGTAAGCCACTAATACGCTCTTTTATTAATGTTACAAAACTTATAAGATATGAAGTTTTTTGTTGTTATTTTAAGACAATTTGCTTTTTCTATAGGAGTTCAATATGGATAAGGTAACTACATGATTGTCAATGTAATCTTTTCATAACCAAGTGGAGTCATGTCTCACAAAAATCCAGCATTTTTGCAACATACAGATAATGATTATCAACCATTTTTCAAAACCCCAGAAATGGAATTACAGTCAAGGTCTACATCTGCTTGGCAAAGTAAGTACTGTAAATGGTTATATTACTGTATAAACATGCCCTCATATGTATTAACTATTGACCCTAATTCAGTAGGTAATTGTAATGTGATCAGTTTTAAATGCTGTAGTTCAAAAGTTGTGTAAAATTTAGTTTCTTGTTCCCATGTCCTTAAGATCCCATGGTTTAAATTGTTAATTTGTGTTTCTGTTAATGCTGGACAATGATGAATAACCAGAGAAACAACCTTGAATATAAATATATATATATATAAAACTTCATTAGTTTGCAAAACCTTCAATTTTTGTTGATTTTCTTTTTAATGTAGATTATCAAACAAGTCAATTAAAAAAGACTTAGGACTGTATTCAATAGGGACATATTTATTATGGAAAAAAAGGATCTTGGTATTCTGGATGATCAGTTTCTTAAGCCATCTAAGCAGTGTAATGTTGCTAGTGGCAGGGTAAATAGGATTTTAGGGGTTATATCTACAGGAATATTGAATACAAGTTTGAAGAGATTAGAAAGAAATTGCATTGTTAGAAAGGATTCTGAGGAGGGTTGCTAGAATGATATCTGGGATGGAAAGGTTGTCGTGAAAGGACAGTTTGAAATTGCTAAAATTAGGGTTACAGGCTATGAAATAGGGATAGAGTATTAAAGAGGGGAGAGGGGGAGGAGTGGCTTCATATATAAAATGTGATTTACATCCTGTTGAAGTTGAGGATATCAAAGATAATAGCAAGGAGATTGAATCCATTTGGGTTTCTATTAGTGGATATAAAGGGAAAAGGCTTTTAGTGAGAATTTGTTACAGACCACCGAATGATAAGAATGAAATTAGTGAGAAACTTCACAATGAGATTAAAATTTCAGCTGTTGATGAAGTCATAATTATGGGTGATTTTAATTTCAAGCATATAGATTGGAAAATTCTAGAGTCAAACCATGAGGGAGAAAGGTTTTTGGACAGTATTCAGGATGGCTTTCTTCACCCATTAGTCAAGGAACCTACTAAAAACAATGCCATTTTAGATTAATTGTTAATTTCAAATATAGAAATGATCGAGAGGGTGGAAATTGGGGAACATCTGGGTACGAGTGATCATTGCTCTGTTAGATTCAATGTTTTGCTGCATATGGAGATAAGGAATAATGATATTTTGTTTAGAAATTTCAAAATGGGAAATATTGAAGGGATGCGACAAGAATTATATGTTGTGAACTGGGCAGCTGAGTTATTTGGAGACACTGATCAGGTGTGGAAAATTTTTAAATATTCAAGGTAAACAGATTCCTTATAGAAAGTAAAGGGTAGCTGCAAGTAAAAACCCAGATAGGCTCACAAAGAGTTTAAAAGATAAAATTAAAGAAAACAACTGATGCAAGACTAATGGGTCTATAATTACTGGGACAATTTATATCACCTCCTTTGAAAAGAGGATTTACATTAGCTAACTTCCAAGCCTCTGGTACCTGCCCATTATTCATGGACTGACAAAAAATAGTAGTAAGTGGCTCACATATTGAATCTTTAACCTCCTTCAAAACCCATGGGGAAATATCATCTGGCCTAGGAACCTTATCATTTTTTAAATTTCCCAATCTTTTCTTAATCAGCTTAGAATTAATCCAGTCATTTTGTTTCATCTTGTTTACATTTATCAACTGTTCAAGATGTGGAATACTACTTAAATCTTCGTTACTAAAAACCAAAGAAAAAGCAAAATTTAATAACCCAGCCATCTCATAATCATCAGATATTAGCCTTCCTTTATCATCCTTCAAGGGTCCTACCCCATTCTAATATTTTGTTTACCCTTAATGTATTTAAAGAAATCCCATACTGTTAATTTTTACCTTTTCAGCCAACTTTCTCTAAGACATCCTTTTTGATGTCCTTATTGCTTGTTTTACCAACTTTCTTGATCTTCTAAATTTCCAGTCAATTTAAATTTCTTACATTTATTATGCGGGAAAAGTTTGGTAAAAGATGCTTTCCAAAGTCATTTAACAAAGTTTGGAATTTTAATGGATAGTCAATTTGGGTTCACTAAGGGAAAATCTTTTGACATTCTTTGAAAAGGTTACTGCTTACTTAGATGAGGGTAAGAGATTTGATGTATCTGGATTTTCAGAGGCATTTGACAAGGTGCGATATAAAAGTCTTGTAAAATAAATTATCTCTATGGGTGTGGGGGATAAGTTAGCAAACTGGATAGAAGAGTGGGTGGATGGAAGAAAGCAGAGGGCTGTTACAAATGGAGTTCAGTCAAACTGGATTAATGTCACAAGTGGGGTACGTCAGGGCTCAGTCTTAGGACCTGTGCTCTTTTTTGATTTACATCAATGATATAGATGAAGATATAAATTACTTAAATTTGCAGATGATATTAAAGTCTTGGGTGTTGCTAGCTGTGGAGAGCTGTGTTGCTGGCTGCTTTACAAAAGAGTGAGTTGTGCAAATAAATGGCAGATGGGTGTTAATTATAATAAATGCAAGATATTTCATGTGGGT